TATATATATATATATATATATATATATATATATATTCTAAATAAATATTTATTTTATTTATTTTCTCAATATTTATATATATTGTTTTATGATATTTGAATGCATGCAGATTGGAGGGGAGGCAAGGTTCACAGCTGAAGATATGGCGAATTCAGTTCAGCAAATATTCAGTTTTATCCATGCAAACACCACCATTTGATGCATGGAAGAATAATTTTTAATATATAGTTAATTAGTGAGATAGTGATGAATATTAGAAGTTTAATTTTGTACTTTGAATATCTATAGCAAGTTTTTTTTTTATTTGAGTACTTTATAATATAGTATAGTATAGTATAGATATTCCTATTTTCAACAATTAATATAAATATGTGGCTTTTTTTTTAATTTTTTTTTTTTAGTTTTAGCTACTATTTCATTAATTTGCATTATTAGCTTGTAATCCATTTGGTGCAACTCTTGCATGCATAACACAAATTGTATTTGTTTGGATTCATATTACAACTTTACAAGTGATTTGATGGCTCAACATACATGCTCTCTCTCTCTCTCTCTCTCTCTCTCTCTCTCTCTCTCTCTCTCTCTCTCTCTCTCTCTCTCTCTCTCATTGGTGGCCTAATTAGCTAGGGCCAAAGAGGCGGCCTAGTTGGTGGAGTAGAACCACGAAGTCAAATGACTGGACTTCGAAATTCACTGCGAACGCTTTCCAAATCGAATTTGTCACACACAACTTCTACAGAGTGCATCTGCATCTATATGTAGTTGTTGTTCTTTTTACAGTGGCCTTATAAATGGCGTACAACTGAATCCAAAGGAAATTGAACCATTGATCTTAATACTACACTCAAACCAATACATATCTTTCTAACAAAATCTTCGCATTGCATTTATACGATTGGTTGCAGTTCTTTCGATACAAAAGATATATATAAAAAAAAAAAAGTTAGAAACTAGACAAAATGTGCACATGTGTCAATTCAATTTTTCAATAATTTATTCATGGTTGAAGAAGGTCAACCCCTCAACCCCACATATAATTTGGTTCCATATGCGTTGATCTGTCAGAAAAAGGACCAAAATTTGTAGTTTGGTAGTATTAAGGATTGGGATTCATTACAATGAAGGGTCCCCTTTTTATAAGTTTTTTTGAGGCTTTTATTCATTACATCATCCCCAATTTTTGTCTTGTTATTTTTAGTCAATGTTTTTATTTATGATAGGATAATTTGTTTTTTTCACCTATAAGAGTATAAGGTATGCACATGGTGGTGGGGTTTTTAGTTTCTCCATGGTATTTATTACTCGAGGATCTTTTGAGACGCTCGGTGAAGAACGGGTTACGGTTAAACCTTTTTTTTTCGAAATGTAGTGGAAAAAATCGTCTCGTGCAATTTACAAGCTATTGGTAGGGTGTTCATGCAGTAAAACGGTACCGAATTATTGTACCGGGAACTTAGAACTACTGAAATTCTGGTAATTTGAAAATTTGTACCATTTGCCGTATCGAACTATTCGGTTCCGTACGGTTTTTTACCTTTCGGGTTTTTCGGTTCGATACCGGTAAAACCGAAAACATATTTTCATATTTTAAAAAAGATAAAAAAACAAAATTTTAATTTTTTTTATTTCAATAATCGGCCTTAAAATTAAAAGAAATAAGTAATTACCACTAGAGGCTAATTTGTAAATAATGGAAAAAAATATCATCAATTTATAAGTATTTAAACTAGTACGATATTTTTTTTAAATATTTTGGTATTCGGTATTGTATGCCGTATGGTATATTGGCCATCAATATACCGGACCAAATTTTTTATTCGGTTCGGTTCTATCGATTTACCGATCGAGTAATATTCTTCAAGGTATAGCTAATTGTTCTACAGCTTTGATTTATCCCAAAAAAGATTACATTAGTTAATCATATCTCCTCCTACCCACTAACAATATCAAATTGAACTCGTGCAACTGTCTCTTGAATATGTTGGAAGCAAATATTTGAATAAAAATATACAAAAATTTAATTGGAACGCGCCAGGTAGGGGTCGAACCTACGACTTTCTGCTTAGGAAACAGACGCTCTATCCACTGAGCTACAGGCGCTTGTTGTTTTTAAAATTAAATAATTGTTAATATTAACTTGCGTAACATATTATTATCATTCATTGCCAAATAATTAAGAGATTAGAGAATAATCAGTATTGGAAAAATTTTAGTTTTTCTTTTTTGTTAGAACAATGAGGCCAAGTTATATCTTATAGTAACTTAACCATAATTAATTAAATATATTACTAAAGCATCACTTGTAGTTCTAGGCATAACAAATGTGACTATGTTAACTCGACGATATGACTAATCGGTGGGACTGAGAAAGCGTGATATCATCTAACCTAAGGTCGAATTTATTTGTCAGTATCTTTTAGTTAACTTTAGTCACAAATGGTTAACCTAAAGTGATTTAAATTGTCGTACAATTTGCAAGTATTGCACGAGATGGGAATTTACCCGATATAATTTGAATGGATGCTAAGGATCTCTTTGTACTCTACTACAAAGAGTATTACACTATTGTCGATAAAAAAAAATAATAATAATAGACCATGCTTTAATGTTTCATACTTGTTGGGCATGGATTGAGTCGGGTGATTATCGGTCAATTATCTCCCTGATCCGACTAATCAATTTTGCTGAATACTGAAAATCATTACCGACCCGAAGATTGAGGGTCACTCGGATAATAGTTCGCAACCGACTTTGTCAGGTAAAAAATGAGTCGGTTGGTTTGTATTATCGCCCATACTATTATAATTTATTATGTTCAATGAATGTTTTCTACTTTTTTATTTTTTTTTCACAGTCATAGTGTTATTCTATCAACTTTTTAAAAGGTTTTTCAAAAAATATTCAAAATTTTGGGAAAAAATATGTTAACCTAACCTTATAAATATAAAAGCTTTTTTTTTTTCAACAAAATTTCTGCAATAAGTAAATACATAAAGAAGAATAGGAAATAGGAACTATAAACCAAAATAGTACTTGGAGGTTATAAATTTGAATTTTGAGTTTTCAATTCTTTTTAAATAATTAAGTTTTAAATTTTTGTCTTTTCCCCTAAAATTTTATTTTCATAATTTAAAAAATTAATTACCATTAAATATTTTTAATAGATTTATAATATTAAAAAAGTCGATTGGTTCGATAATTTCAGACAACGGACTTTTGAGTAAACTTAAAATCACATCAAACAACCCATTTATACATAGTCGCTTAAAATTATCCACTCGACTATTTCACTTAGGCCCCGTTTGGTTGCCAAGATAAACTATGATTAACCAGAGAACGGACTTTTGAGTAAACTTAAAATCACACCAAACAACCCATTTATACATAGTCGGTTAAAATCATCCACTCGACTATTTCACTTAGGCCCCGTTTGGTTGCCAAGATAAACTATGATTAACTATATAGTTAGACTTAATTTGATGTTTGGTATCCCCAATAAATTGTCGGGTCGATCCGCCAAAATTATATAATCATGGTTTATCTTGCCTTATAATGAGTTTTTTTTGTTGAACGTTGCAAACTCATATAAAATAATTGGGTTTCATTAAATTATTTAATCTTATCTTGACTAACCTTATCTTGCCAACTAAACGGAACCTTAGTATAATAAAATAATAAATTTAAACTGTATTTCCAATCCCATCAAATATACTATAAGGCCCCTTTTGGTTGGAGGGATGGGGTGGGATGGGATTGGGGCTTAATTGGAAAATGACACTGTATGGATTAGTGAAGTATGGATGGTATCTCGGGTTTGGTTGGTTGGATATGGAACTGTATGATTGAATCCGAATGAGCCAATCTCAGGAATGGTTGGGAGGATTGTGTGGGATAATTTGGTTAATTACATTACCACCCCTTGGAAGGTATTTTTATTATTAGTTTATACATCTGAAAATTTTAAATTATTGCCAACTGCACCCATTATTTTCTTTCATTTTCCTGTAACTATAAAATCAGCCCTAATATTTTCGGATAATTACATTTCCACCCCTCATAATCCCTTTTTAATATTATATTACCCCAGTATTTTTTACAATATTGCTTGTTGCACCCATTCTTTTCCTCTCCCATTCACTTTTAATTACAAAATCATCCCTAACATTTTTGTATAATTACATTTCCATCCCTTGCAAGCCCTTTTTATTATTATATTATACACCTGACAATATTAAAAATATTGTTTACACCACTCATTCTTTCCTCCCATTTTACTGTAATTATGAAATCAACCCTAACATTTTCGGATAATTACATTTCCACCCCTTGCAACCCCTTTATATTTATTTATATTATACACCTGACACTGTAAAATATTTCTTTGCAGCACCCATTGAATAAGGATAACGGCAAGGGGCCAATCGACGGGGCAAACGATTACTAGGTCATACTTTGACGCATGTGTTGTACTTGGAGACTCCATTGATCAATGGGAGTTCAAATTTTCCAATCTCCATTATCTCGGCTAGTTTTTCCTAATATTTTTCATAATATTTTCCGTGTTATTATTATTGGTATTTCCCGTATTATTTTCCCACTTCCATGTAGTCGGCAAGATTTTCAGTATTAGTATTTGATTTTCCTGACTTTGTATTTTGGTTTGTAATTTTAATTTTCATTTTCGTACCCATGGGCGATAATATATATTAATATTGTTTGTTTACATTTTGTTCATACTACTGTTTTTCTTAGTTAATACATATTTATATATTTAACATTGTTTGTTTAAATTTGTTGATACAGATGTTTGTTCATATAGAATTTAAAGTTGTAATTGATCACACTATAACCAATGACCGAGCACAATGAAACTTTCGCAATTGCATAAACCAATTACTATGAAATTAAAAAAAAAAACACGAAGACATGCGTATTGACAAAAATCTGCACGAAGGCCTGCAACTATAACCTGTTGCAGTGTGAATATAACACATGCATATTGACAAAAACCTTGGAATATTACACAACCCGTGAACCTGTTTAAAATTGACCATTAGCTCCTAAATAACAAAATATTTTTTCAGCTTACCATTTAGGCATAGTAGCTCCAAACTAACAGAATATTTACAGACATATAATCGGCCATAATACACAAAATTTATAAGTTCATACGGAAAAACTAACAGAAATGTCTTCAATGCAAATAACGCCGCAAGATAGGGTCCGAATACGGGAAAAATTTTCTTCACCTTGTGAGTGGATGATATTCTAGCTAACCGAAGTAGCGCCCTTCGAGGATCATTCGAACCATAACCCCCTTTTCGGTTTCATTTAATCCAAAAAAGATGTCGAGATCGGTTGGGCTATTGCAAACGGCTTTAGCGACAGTAATCTTATCCTCGACACCTAAACATAACGGCGATAGGGCATCCAACACCTTCTTACATGTGTAGTTGACGCATCGTGCTCAAAACCGATACGGTGGGCCAACTCGCCTAGGAATGTTTTAGTCTCCACAAAAGTCCTAGTCATATCCGCCATCATATCCACGATACGGCCATCGAGGTCATCGTTTCGGGAACGCTTGTTGCCTTTCTTTTTACCCCTACTTTGATGTGAGGTTGAAGTCCCTTCACCTTGCATGTTAGACATGTAACCTTCACCGTGCAATGAGGACATGTTCTCCGAGTCATTCTCGTTGGAGTGCATGGCAGGTTGCGGTATGTGGTCTCCACCCATTGAATCGTCGCCCGCTTCTTTATCTTGTTTCGATATATCGTTGATCGCATGGGCGAGAGCCTCGGCACTTTCCCCCGTAGCCCGATCTTTTCCAAAGATGATTGTCCAATCTTTGAAATATGGCCATGATTTATAGCGCATCAACCGGGCATTTGAATCGAACTACAAAATAAATGAAAATGGAGGAGGTGCATTAAATTGGTTCGCATTATGGGTTTCAATTACGTTAATGTATAGTAACCGGTAGAAGAATACCTTAATTACGAGATGAAGGAACGGATAATTAGAACAATAAAAAAAATCGAAACCCATATAAACCCAAAATTCTTCAACAATACTCGGATGCATTTGAAGAAATCTGTGATATCAATTTGTGATGAGTTGATTATCGGAAAAAACCAAAAAAAAAAAAAATAACTAATGAAGTATGAAAAATAAGAAATCAATCTGTGATGAGTTGATTATTCTTCAACCGGTTTAGGGGGGCCTAAAAAACGAAGAAAGAAGCGTGTTAGAGAACCTAGAAGAGTTGAGTATCAGAAAAATTACCTCGGTGAAAAAACTACCACAGTGGAGAAAAGCAGAACGAAGAACGGCGTGTATTGCTATGTCGGTAAAATTCTAGGGCTTTTGGGGTAATTCATATATATGGGGTAGTCTTGTAATTAGAAATAAATATTCAGGGCATAAAGGTAATATACTGTACTTGATTGGGCTGAGAGTTGGATGAGATTACCCAATCTCACCTCCTTCGGCCTGATGGGAGATCCGGTAAATCCTTGATCCGGACCCGGGCCCAAGTGCAATCCCAGACCCCGTTGGGCTCAACCAAAGCTGAGATCCGAGTGGATTAGAGGAACTATCCACCCGGATCAGCCCAACCAAACTGGGCCTAAGGCTTACTTATCAAAAAAAACAAATATACTATAAGGCCCATACTATTCGTTTTCTAACATAAAACTGAGACCCGAAAATAAAGCCCATATTTATTGGGCCCGGCCCATATCTAAATAGACCGAAGAAAAACCCGCAAACTGAAACCCTACTAACACAACTAATACAGAGGGTATATATATAAACATCACCCTCTCATTTGTAAACCCTAATTCCCACCCACATTTCCTCGGCCTCTTAGAGAGAGAGAGAGAGAGAGAGAGAGTGTAGCTTAGAGAGAGAAAATGGTGTCGGGCTCAGGCATATGTGCGAAGCGAGTAGTCGTCGACGCCAGGCATCACATGCTTGGGCGATTGGCCTCGATTCTCGCGAAGGAGCTGTTGAACGGGCAGAAGGTGGTCGTCGTTCGATGCGAAGAAATCTGCCTCTCCGGCGGACTCGTGCGCCAGAAGATGAAGTACTTGCGCTTCCTCCGTAAGAGGATGAACACCAAGCCCTCCCACGGCCCGATTCATTTCCGCGCTCCCTCCAAAATTCTCTGGAGAACTATTCGTGGGTAAGTATTCAATTTTTTTTTTTAATTTGTTTCGTTTTTGTTGGTAGATGTTGTTGTTCTGGTTGATTACTGGATTTTGGTTTGAATTTTGATTTCAAAACGTTCGATTTAGTTTGCATTTTGAAATGTGAAAGAAGTTAATGTAGTTGATTGTGTTGTTTACTGAAATCTGATGTTTAGATTTGAATTTTAGGGTTTAGGTTTTTGGTTGATTTTATATCAGAATTAGAAGTATAGAGTGTGAAATAGTACATTGGTTCAACTGAGTAGTTTTGAAATACAGCTAGTGTTAATTGTAGTTGCCTTGAAGGATATCCAAAGAGATTAGGCAAATAAATTGTTCTACCAAAATTAAGTATGTCTTCTTTTAATTTATCGACCTTGAGGAACCCTAATCTTTCATTTTATTTATCTCTACGGATGGTATTTAAATTTTGCAATATTATATAGAAATATTTAACAAGTGGGCTTGAAGTTGATGTATTGTGACGTGCTGTTTATTCGGTGTTAAACGCAATTCATTCTGCGCTGGTTTTTCATCTAGTTAAAAAAAGATCCATTTTTGTGTGTTCTAAAGTTGCACTGTGATAAATTCTGATAAATTCTGTGTGTAGCTTACTAATAAGAATCTTTTGTTCATCTCGTGACATTGTATTTATTGTTTGATTGAATTGATTTAGGGTACTATGATTGCATTTCTAGTGTTCGTCGAGTGATGGTTGCTGTCGTTTTGTCTTGCTCTTGTGTATTTAGCTATCCACACTTGATATAGCTTATCGATTCGTTTAGGTCAAAACTAGTCTTTATTCATATACGACTTGTAATTGCAGTATGATCCCCCACAAGACCAAGAGAGGAGCAGCTGCACTTGCTCGTTTGAAGGTTTACGAGGGTGTTCCTCCACCATACGACAAGATCAAGAGAATGGTCATTCCCGATGCTCTCAAGTGAGTTTTCCTTTTAAACAATTAATTAATTTATTTTAATTTATTTTTTAATAACTTGATTTCCCATTTTTTTTGTATGTTTGTACTGATTTTATTTACTTTGATGAACAGGGTTTTGAGGCTTCAAGCTGGACACAAGTACTGCTTGTTGGGCAGACTCTCGTCTGAAGTCGGATGGAACCATTACGACACTATCAAGGTAAGTTCAATTTTTATTTCGTTTAATTGTTGTTTGTTTTATTAACATGGTACATTGTTCTTGTTTATTAACTGTTGCTGTGTTTTGATGTTTACTATAGGAGTTGGAGCAGAAGCGTAAAGACAGAGCTCAGGCTACGTACGAGCGTAAGAAGCAGTTGATCAAGTTGAGAGTTAAAGCTGAGAAGATTGCTGAAGAGAAACTCGGTGCTCAACTCGATATTATTGCTCCGATTAAGTACTGAAAACAAGCTACATTGTAGTACCTTTTTTGAATGTGTCGATTTTGTTTGTCAAGGATATATTTGATGGATTCTCTTTTGTTAGCTTTTAAGTCTATTCGGGTTTTCTCAACTACATTCTGCGGATTATTTTTTTACCTTAACTTCTGTTTTGTTCTTGAAATTGCCATGCTATATTTGTTTCTTATTTTATTTTTTTTAAAGTTGCAATTTTATGTATTGTGCTGCTATGTGTTTTATTGCAATTTGGAAGGCTCAAATTGTAGCATACACAATTGTTTATCAAAAGTTCATTTGGACTCAATTTGTTAATATAATAAACCACTACTGAATGTATATTTTGCCCAACTACATTCAACATTTTTGCAAATTGCATTTACTATTTTGGACCCGCATTATCATTTTTGCTGCCTTTATGATTTTTTTTCTAATTTTTTTTTAAAAATATATTTTTTTGAAATATTTACTATACTGAAAACGACTATAAATGACTATAGTTATATGGGGTTGTCTAGGGTCCGAGAGGGGTTGTACTACTCGGACCCAAACGATTTAATCTGGTACGTAGAAAATATTTAGTAAAAATTTATAGTCGTTGATTTAAAGTACGAACTAGTACGATCCAGTACGAACCTATGAATTTATAAATTAAAGTACGAACCCAGTAAAAATAGATCGTACAAAGGTCGTACTCCATCGTACTTCATGTAAAATTACTTTATTAACCTTACATTATTAAACCAGAGAATTAAAAGTAGGGTTAACTGTACTTTGCCCCTAACTTTGGTCATTTTTGCTCTTTACTCCCCAAATAAAAAAAATTCTACGATCATACCTCGACTAACTAATTTTGCCCAATTTCACCAATTAACCAATTTTTGACCATAATTTCAATTTTGACTCGCCACCACCGGAGACCGCCAGAGACCCACGGTCTCCGGCGTTGACTCTTTTTTTTTTTTCAAAACTTTTTTTTTGTCTGAAATTTTTTTTCGGTAGCTCAATCGCTTGGTCTCCGGCTTTGATTTTTTTTTTTTTTTAAATTTTGTTTTTTCTGAAAAAAACTATTATAACTAATATTAATATATTGACTGTTAAATTACTGTCTCCAACAGTTATTTAACTGTTGGAGAGAGTAATTTAATGTTAATTAACCTTTTTTTTTCTTAAAAAAATAATTAATATTACTGTCTTGACTGCTAAATTACTGTCTCCACAGTTATTTAACTGCCGGAGACAGTAATTTAACTGTTAATTGATTTTTTTTTTCTTAAAAAAATATTTTAATTAATATTACTGTCTTGGCTGCTAAATTATTGTCTTCAACAGTAATTTAACTGTTAATTGACTTTTTTTTTGATTTTTTTTTTCTTAAAAAAATATTTTAATTAATATTACTGTCTAGGCTCAAAATTACTGTCTTCAACAGTAATTTAACTGTCTGAGACAATAATATTACTATATTAATCAATTTTATCGTCTTGGCCTGCATTATTGTTGTCTTCTACTGTAATATTATTGTCTTCGACCGTAATATTACTGTCTCAAGCAATAATATCACTGTTTGGGACAGTAATATTAGTAATATTACGGTTCGAGAAAATAATATTCATAATATTACTGGCCGAAACAGTAATATTATTGTCTGAAACAGTAATATTACTGTATAAGACAGTAATTTAGTAGGCAAGATAGTAATATTAACAGTAATTTAGTAGGCAAGATAGTAATATTAATTAAAATATTTTTGTCTAAGAATTTTTTTTCAAAAACGAAATAATAAAAAAGTCAACGCCGGAGAGCACCGGTCAACTGCGGTTGACCGGCCGAAAAAAAAATTCAGAAAAAAAAAGTTTTCAAAAAAAAAAAAGTCAATGCCGGACACCGCCTGCCCGGTCAACGCCGGAAATCTGGCCGGAAAAAAAAAATTAAGAAAAAAAAGTATTTTCTAAAAAAAATATTTTTTCAAAAAATTATTAAAATGGGAGTTAATGTGATATATTTGTTTAAATTCGGGGTCAATGTGTAATATTAAGGAAGTTAGAGTACAATGGATGAAATTGATAAAAAATATATTATGGAGTGTATTTTAGAGTAAAGACATGGTGATGAGTTTATTTGAAAGATTGTTGTTTATGTGGACCAATGTGCATTTAAATCCCTTGTCATGGCCCTAATTATTAATTATTATTAATTGTTACTTAAGTTTTAGTTATAGGGCTTTTTATGTAATTTCACTTATAAGGTAGGTATCGTACTTTTTTTATGGGATTCGTACAAATCATACGTGTCACATTTTTATTGGTTGATTTTCAATCGTTTGGGTCCGATTAGTACAACCCCTCTCGGGCCCTAGACAACCCCTAGTTATATTCTTTCGTTTTACCCAAAGTAATGGTTGACCAATTATGTACACACACATGATTATGGGTAACCAACAAATACAGATCAACATACACAAAACACAATCACATGCTACATGTTACTATGTTACTATATATGTAACTATAGATAATGTGTAGTAATGTGCAGTATGTAGTCGGCTATAACTTGAAACATATGTCAAATTCGCCAAATTCTTTTACACCTTCAACCAAATTTTTGGCACCTTCAAGGAGAAGATCAATGTCTTCCATTAAACTGCAATTGCAAAACAAAACACAAGTTTATTTAGTCATGTTATTTGGGGAGCGACAATACTAGCATTGGATACATTGTTGTGTTATTAAATTTAAATTTTAGAGAAAGTGAGCTAAATTGACGAAACTTCACAACACTTAGAATCAACGAAAATTGAGAGAGAGAGAGAGAGAGAGAGATGGCTTTCCACCAAACCGCTAAGGACTCCTCACCCCAAGCGTCTCCTACCAAAACCTAGCTACAGCACCCAAGGTTCGGATCGCGCAGTGAAAAAATCACATAAATAGATCTGACCATCAAAATTGAAAAATATTAACAACAAAAGATAGATCTCAAGAGAGGAATCCAATGGTGGGTAACTTCGTCAATTCCGACCGCAAGAAAACAAGTTACCTCCAAGAAGTACGGTCATTGTTGAAATAGTTGTCCACTATAAAACGATTGTAGAAACATATCTAGAGCTCTAAAGTACGCAATTACTATCCAAAGAAAGACCTCTGCGAGAGGAATCCAACTGTAATTAAACTATCAAATTTTGATCACCGGAGAGAAATTTATAACTAGGAGAAACAACATTATCGGCTCAAAAAATTATGAGACGGAAATTCGGATTCGATAGAAAAATGAAAACCAGAGACAATTGTGGATGGCTAGGGTTTAAATTCGCGTGACCGACGAAGTACGTCAAATTTTGAAAAAAAGTCAAGGGTATCTCACCAATGGTGTGATGTTTAGTTCAATATATATAGTTCCTTCCAATGTGTACTTTTATGTCATGGAGAAAACATAAAAGATGGGGTGCAATAAATTCCATATTGTTTGCAAGTTTGATGTTGCAAAAAGGTGATGCATCTACATTCGGCCTAGAACTAGGCATACTTGATACTACACAAGGACTTGACGTCACAAAACAAAAATAAAAAAGAAAGACAATATAATCTTATAAATTTTTAATATTTTTATCTACTAATTTCTAACTATAATTTTTAACAATTATCAAAATTGAAACTAAATCGTGAAGAATCCTACCCTAATGGTACATCTGTAATTATTTATTTTTAATATTTTGTCTCTACTAATTTTTTAACTATTTTTTCTCTACTAATTATTCTTAATCTATATATTTGGATTATACATTTTAGGGTAAATTACAAACACCCCCATGAGGTATGGTCAAATTACAAAACCCCCCTCTTGTTTGGATAATTACATCTACCCCCCTCAACTATGATTTTTTCTTAGACCTCCACCTTTATGGTGCCAAATTCAACATAGTCATCTAGATTCCGTGAAATGTGCTCTAATTTGTACTCGTTTTGTGTAAAAAATACAGTTTTTGATGCACCACAAACTGATATATACAAGCTAAAAATCACATATTATGATCATCTTGCTTCATAATGTAGAGTTTGAATGGGATAAAACGGGTACAAAAGTGATAATATTCCACTAAATTTGAGGAGTTGAGGGGGTGGTTGTAATTATCCAAACAAGAGGGGTGTTTTTGTAATTCGACCATACCTCAGGGGGTGTTTGTAATTTACCCTACATTTTAATATGTAAGATTTAAAAAAACTAATGTTATATAAAATATGAATAATACTGCATTATTAAATTTTACTATGTTAGTGTAATATATTTTCTTATCATGTATTAAATTCATTATTTTTTTTGACTTTTGAAATAATATCCCGTGCATCGCACGGGGAAAAAATGCTAGTATAAAATAAAAAAGAAAAACAATATAATATATGTAAAATAAAAATTATTTTAAAACTTAAACAATATTCACCTTCAAATTCTTAATTTTCTTTACAATTTTGTTGTCTTTTTTACAAAATTAGTATATAAAAATTCAAAACTTATATTGATGGCCCGATTTTTCTTTTTTCTTTTTTTGATAAAGGGCTCTGCAACCATAGATGTGTAGTGGGTAAAATCTGCTCTCGTGCAATAGTCCATAAACCAAACAAGAGTTGTACATGACTGTCTCTAGTTGTATTATGGTCTAAAACGGATAATAATTAATTAATTATTAAGGTCTTCTACTTATTTTCTTAATATACAATATACGGTTAAGTTTTATTCAAAAAAAAAAAAATCATCGAGCGTTCATCTACGCAATCGCATAATAATGAATAATTATTATCAATTTTAACTGCTAAACTCGAATTTGACATGATTTTGTAGATGCAACCGCGTGAAATTCGCTCATGGCGGATGATGTACATGTTATATGAGTGACATACATCGGATATTGTACACTGTAAATTTACACACAATCACATGTAAGTGTGTGAAAAAATATTTATTTTGAATATATAGGCATGAACGATTGAATATTACCCGATAAAGTCCAGTACTCGGTGTCGCACCACTATTTTAGTGTGAGAATAACAAAAACATTAAAAAGAAAATTTAAAAAAAAAAAATATATATAAAAAAATATTGAAGTAATAAATACTTGCAATATGTAAAAAAAAATCAAGAAACAGATTCTTGACAATCAAGTGCAGGATTTCTGATATCAGAATTCCCACTCATTATCCTTGACTTTCCAAACACCTCCCAAATATAATGAATGCAAATTCTGTATATAGAGGGGTAATTGTGGTAATTTTTTATGAAACAAACTATTTCAGACTCATTTCCCCACTTTGTAATAACAAATATTTAATGTTGCAGTTTCAAATGTGTTGTCACCAAATATATATATAAATTGGCAGCCATAGATATATAGTTGTCTCCTCCTCCACTTCAATTTTTCGTAGTGCAATATTTTCTTGTCTTAAAAACTCAAGAAAAAAAAAATGTCAATCCATCAATGGTTTATCTCTATTTTTATTGCTATTTGCTTAGTATTTCCATCAGGAAATGCCACATTAATTCCAGGTAATAATAATAATAACAATAATCGAAAAAATAAAGTGATCGGTTGTCCGACAATTTTTGTCGATCCATCCGGTGAGGGCAACTTCACACGAATTCAAGACGCTATCGATTCCGTCCCTTCAAATAATCAAAGATGGATTTGTATACGCATCAAAAAAGGCGTATACAGGTAAATCGAAGGAAAAAAAAAAAAGATCGATTTTCGACCAAATTTATAGTTTTTGCTAGTTTAATTATCTTTTCTAAGTACTTTATTTGTCTCCGATTTTTTTCTTTTATTTTTTATAAATGCAGAGAAAGAATTACAATCCCTTATGATAAGCCGTTCATCTCTCTAGAAGGTTCCGGAAAGCGAAAAACGTACGTCGTTGGAGATGCGCACGATTCAATCGCAACGAGTGCTACTTTCACCTCTCAAGCAGATAACATCATTGCAAAAAGCTTATCCTTCATGGTAAGAAGCTAATTTTTTTTACGAAACGATTTTTTTGTAATTATCGAAAATTATATTTTTTAATTACTAATTACATGATACTTAAACAGAATTCGTACAATTATCCACTTAATAACGGGTCACACCGTAATCCGATGAAGACTGCAGTAGCAGCCTTGATCGAAGGAGATAAATCGGCTTTTTACGGGTGCGGATTTTTCGGATTACAAGATACACTTTGGGATGTACAAGGTCGACATTATTTCAAACATTGCACGATTCAAGGAGCCGTCGATTTCATCTTCGGAGCGGGGCAATCGGTTTACGAGGTAAGCCCGATAATCGTTTTCTTGAAGATACTTAATTAAAATATAGGAGTGATTAATTAATTATTACATGATGATATTAGGGGTTGTTAAGTGTCTTAATTACCTTTGCCATTCTCAATTATTATTGTTACCTTTTTCTTTTATGATGGCATTTAAATTATTTAATGAATTTCCTCTATTTATTACAAAATTGACATAATTCAATGATATGTGCACAAAATCTTTGATTTTCTTGCATAGTTATGAATTAATCAATGTGTTGAGATTACTTACTATCAATATATTAGAATATAATTATCCCTTTATGCCTATGTTAAATTAATCAATTAATGCAATTCCTCAATTTTGTTTTTTTTAATTTTTTTTAATTTTTTTTTTAATTTTTAATTTTTAATTTTTTTTTTTTTTTGAAAATAGAGATGTACAATAGCAGCAGTTGCAGGAGCACTAAATGGAGCTCCAGGCTATATCACAGCTCAAGGAAGAACGGCGGCAAACGAAACGAACGGATTCGTATTCAAAAATTGCAATATAGTCGGAAGCGGGAAAACGTATTTAGGAAGACCTTGGAGAAGTTACGCCAGAGTTATATTCTACAACACGTTAATGTCGAACATCGTCGTTCCTCAAGGATGGGACCCTTGGTTCTGCACCGGTCACAAGTACGTTCTTTTATACTGAATACACCTATTTTTTATTTGTGTCAGATTCAGTTTTTCGTTCTGTAACTGCTTGAATAGGTAAACAGATAGTAAAAAAAAATAAAAAAATAATGTGGTTCAGATACAATTTGGTATACGCTGACATGTGAATTATTATGCTTGAATAGGTGAACATATAGTAAAAAAAGATATAAATTTAATGTGGTTCAGATACAATTTGATACGCGCTGACACGTGAATTATTTTGACCAGGGACGCATTGACGTTTGACGAGATTGGGTGTCGAGGTTCGGGTTCGAACAAATCGAGAAGAGTGAGTTGGTCGAACAGGTTGAGTAATTACACAGAGTTGGAGCAATTAACCAGCATTTCTTACATTGATGATGGAGATTGGCTTTCAACAATTTTAAGTAGTGATTAAATTTTATATAATTAATTAGCATGTGGGAGGTAAAATAATTGTGTTATTGTGGCTGAATGCATGTTTAATTTGGTAGCTTCAATTTGATTGATAAGTAACAATTTGATGTAATTAGTTTGCAGGATAATGTTTGTAATTAGTGTATGTCACTGCAGGAAACAATAATATGTTCCTAAATTAATTAAATGTTGTATTATTTTTGTCTTCTTTCTAATGGTTTCAAACAAATCTTGCACCATCTTAATAATTTTTTATTCTAACTTATGTGGCATTTGCAAAAGCTTATTAAAAAATAAGAGTTGGTGATTGTGAGTTAAGTGAATAATAAGTCCTTAAAATATATTGCAAAATCAACTTAAATAGAAAGAGTAAATTACAATCACCCCTGAGGTATGGTCAATTTACAAAAAAATCCTCTTGTTTGGAAAATTACAACCACCCCCCTTAACTATAAATCTTTTTACACACCCACCCTAGCGGTTTCAAATTTAGTGGAATTTTCGAGATTATATGGATTATTATCACTTTTGTACCCATTTTATCCTATTCGAACTCCACATTTTGAAGCAAGATGATCATAATATGTGTTTTTAAGCTTGTATTCAGATTGTGGTGCATCAGAAAACTGTATTTTTACACAAAACGAGTACAAACTAGAGCACATTTCACGAAATCTAGATGATTATGTTGAATTTGACACCATAAGAGTAGAGATGTAAGAAAAAATCATAATTGATGGGGTAGATGTAATTATCCAAACAAAAGAGATTTTTTCGTAAATTGATCATACCTTAGGAGTGGTTGTAATTTACCCAAATAAAAAAATATGTCTGGAGGTGCTTTCTAAAAGTAGCATAAATCAACTCATTTTAAGATAAATAAAAGTAAAAATTAATTTTACAAACACCTAAAAGTAGATTATAAGCTAAGAAAAACTCAGAAGTTATTTCTAAACAGGGGTTGGTGCATCCATAAATTATTTTTAGTACACATTAATATATTATGGTTAATGTGCCATAATTATTGGATCCCAATAAATATTTTCAATTTAATTTAAAACAATACATCTATAAAATATCATTATAATAATATATTTATTACAAGGAACTTTTATCAACATTTTCTTTTAAATTTATTTTATAAAAATGTTGTGACATGATCATGTTCTAACTCCGTGAAATTCACTTATCATTTCTCTTGTAGTACAAAAACCCCACTAAAAAAATAATCTTTGTCTCTTTAGTCCTTCGAATATGTTTGAATTTGTTTTGGGAGTTATTTCTATTTTATTTTGGAGAAATATGTTTTCAGACAATAATATAAGAATGAAAGTAATGTTTATTTATATTTTAAGATGAGATAAAATACACTACAACAGTCAAATCATGTTTAAATATATTGGGAAAGTATAATCTAGAAGTAGAATTTGAATTATAAAAATGATTAATACAATATACACCACTGTACTATTACCATTGTCGCATTTACCCCATAAACTATGAAATGTGACAAAACAACCCCTCATTTTAACAGTCAACTATTAAAATCTTAACACCATTAAAGCACTGTTGATGGAAGGGTCATTTTGTCACATTAGATAGTTTAGGGGGGGCAAATGCGACACTGGAAATAGTACAGTGGTGCAAACTGTATTTAACTCATAAAAAAATGATGTTTATTTGTTTTTTAGTGAATATATATTGCAGGGTACCAGTTAATTTTTTTCTACCGTAGTAGTTAAATCATGTCTGGAAGAGATATAAACTTTTAATTTTATTTCTTTTGGATTTTATTTTTGAAAAACTTATCAAACACGATTTTTTTGAAAATCTCTTTTTTTTTCTTCAGTAAATTGTAAAATCTGAATGAAAAAAATACCCTAAATTTCTGATGGTGTCCGGTAATTTCAATGTAATACAATTTCGAAAGTTCTAAAATTTCGACATAAAAATGAGTTTCTTATTTTTATAATTTTTGGAACCGGAATCAGAATAAAATTTTCAGTTACGAGAAGATGAAAAAGTTTGTCGAGAATCTAGATGTTGTGGTCCGATACGATCGTACAATTTCCATTTAAATATGAAGTGAAAAAAAATATTTGATGGTCTTTTTAATAGGATATGCATATATTTTGTATTTATATAATTTAGGACCAACATATCTCAAAATTGCTGATTTTATTTATATTTTTGGCATTTTTATTTTTTTGAAGAATTTCAGAAATAATTGTTTTGACACTGATTATAACCTTTTTCGTTGAATGCTTTCGCATGGCAGTTCGTTCAACGGGTGTAGTATCTACAAATCCAGTACACACTAGAAGAAAAAAATGGAATATATTCATTAATTAAGATAATTATTTCATTGTTATCACTCATAGACTTATTTCTTGTAGTGACCAATAAACTGTAATAAACTGCATACGTGTAAACTTAAATTATTATTATTTTTTTCTTTTTTCTTTTTTTCTTTTTTTCTTTTTTTCTTTTTTTCTTTTTTTCTTTTTTTCTTTTCTCTTTTCTTTTTTTTTTAATATAAATTTAATGTTTATTGCGTGACTGAATGAAGAACAACAAAAGCGCCTTTCAATTAATTACAAGAAAAAAAAACAGTTCCTTGAATAAATGGGAAAATAAATATTGGAAGATGGAAAGAAAAAGAAGGTAAATGGCAATTAATTGTCCCCACTTTAAAATTATTATGAGCAAAAGATAATTAAATATCATGTATATGTATATATTTATCCAAAAATAACAATTTATAAAACATAATTTAACTAGTGGAATTTTTTTTTTCTAAAAAATAAAATTACATTGCTTGAACTATTTCGGATAACCTATAATGCAATTACACGACGAAATCATGCTACAACAGGTGAAGTACGCCGAGTTGTATACATACTACGATTTACGATCATTGATTAATATGGAAATAATACCATGGTACTATAGATCAAATAATTGCACATAAATCATTAAATAATTAAAATTCAATCCTCATATTAATTATTACATTAACTTACGTCCAAACAAGTGGCTTATGACATGCATCTCAAATTAACGTAAGGTAGGTAAGAAAGTTAAATTAAGGTAAGAAGATCATAAAAAAATAATTCTTTTGTAACAAAGTTAAAGCCAAATATTTAATTGGGTTTTAATTACTTCCATACCAAAACCTTTTCAAATCCACCTTCATATTTTCTCCAACCCATTTTTTTTATTAAATTTGTTTTTTTTTTCTTCTTGTTATTTCCTGGTAAAAAAAAATCTTTGCCACGGTAAAAAAAAAAAAAAAAAGTTAAAAAAGAAAATGTCTATAGTACTCTTGCGTTGTGTATTAATTTGTACATATTTTTTTATTTGTTTCGGATTCATTGCAAGCGGTGAATTTCTTCAAGGAAAATATACGCAGCATCGTACGATAAGCGTCGATCCGTCGAGCGGTACGAGCTTTTCGACTATTCAATCGGCGATTGATTCCGTACCTTCGAATAACCACAACTGGATTTCCATCTATATCAAAGCCGGAGTTTACAAGTAATTTTTTTTATTTTTGTAATAATTGAGATATATATACATACAAGTGTGTGTATAAGTGTGTAAATGTGTGTGTTTTGCATGGGTAGTGAACAGGTGAAAATCCCTCCGGACAAGGGGTTTATTCGTCTGAATGGAGAAGGGATGGGGAAAACTAGTGTGGTATGGGGTGCACACGATACGATGTTGACCTCGTCGACTTTCGAATCGATGGCTGATAATATCGTCGTCTCCGGGATTACTTTCGTGGTAATTAATTAATATAATTATTTATATAGCCTTAATCATAACATTATTATAAATAGTCATGGTGATTTAATTTTTTTTGTTCTTTAAAAATTCAAATTTTGTTATAAGTTAGGGAAGTAGGAGAGGGGCAGGATTTCGAATTTCAGATCGATTACGATTTTAAATTAAAGAAATTAAAATCAATACATTATAAAGTTTTTGATTTTCTTTTCTTAATTATAAGATTCGTAATTTTTGTAGAACTCTTATAATTATCCACCAAGCACGAACAAAAATCCGGTGAAACCGGCGGTGGCGGCTAAGATCTCCGGCGACAAATCGGCGTTTTACGAGTGTGGCTTTTTGGGGTATCAAGACACATTGTTGGATGATGCCGGAAGACATTATTTCAACTATTGCTATATTGAAGGAGCTACTGATTTTATCTTTGGGGGTGGTCAATCGATTTATGAGGTAATATAATATAATATACCGTAATAGAACCCTAAATAAATAATTTGATTTTCTTGAATTGCTTTAAATTTTTTTTTTCTAAAATAAAGTACATATTGCTTTTAATTATGTCTTAACATATTACATATTTTCTAAAATAAAGATTGACGTCGCAAAAAACCTTGAGCTTTTTAACTCGGTTTGTATTGTTGAGTCGAAAATGAAAAAAAATAAAACAACAAATCACGAAAATTGATCGTGTGATTAACTCGATCATCGTGCATATTCTACTAGGTAGAACTAATAACGTTCGTAAACGAAAAATGCGAAAGAACATATATTTTGTACTGTGTCACTCCGAACTAAACCTTCTCCGATTTTTCTCTCGGAATTTTTATAAATTCGCTACGAATTCTAATTATATATGGTTTATTAATATAGGTTTCTATCTCATAATTACTCACATATCTTATGTGATACATGCTTATCTAATTAGATATTTTTACTATCCCAAATATTATTTGCACTTCTTTAATTAATTAAAGTTCATATCTAATAAGATTTCTTCTTATCCCAATATGCAATTATTCAATCAATTATAACCCTTATAATTTATTTCAATTCTTTATTGAAAATTGAAATATTTAAAATAGGTGGAAATAAGATCACAAATCAGGACCTTTCATTTGGTCTGACTCTATATCAACCAAAAGTTTAAATTGGTGATGAAAATGTATCATTTAATATTAATATCAGCAATAATTTTAATACTGAAATTTTGAATCCTTTGTTGGAATATAGAAATGCAGCATAAAAGTGAATGTAGGGGAGAAAGTGAGCGGGTCGATAGGTTTCATAGCAGCACAGGCAAGAGCAAGTTCGAACGACGATGGCGGGTTTGTGTTCAAACAGTGCAATGTGACCGGAAACGGAAAGGCATTCCTTGCTAGAGCTTGGAAACCCTATTCCCGGGTTATTTATTACAATTCCTTTCTCTCCGAAATCGTCGTTCCTCAAGGCTGGGATGCTTGGAATTACGTCGGCCACGAGTAAGTTTTATTTATTTATTCGTTGGGTAAATTACAACCACCTCGTTGATGTAAAATATAATTATGAAAAAACCTCTTCTTTTTCAGATATTACACTCAGCTCCCTGAAATTTGTAAATTTCTTACCTCCACCCCTTAAAAAGGGTGCTAATGTAAGAGGTCTACCAATTGCAAGGAGGCGGATGTAGTTGTGAAATAACGAGGGTTTTTTCGTAAATTGACCTGACAGTAGGGGGTGATTGTAATTTATCCTTGTTATATGTTTGGTATGTGGAAATTGATGACGTGGAGTTTTTGAACTCGCTGATTTCGATTCGAAAGTTCACATTTCATTATAATAATTTTTTTTTTCTAATTTCAATTTCCAACTTTGACCTCTAACATTTTGGATCGGGATTTGGATTGAAAAATATTTTTGAGATTTTCGATTTCCGATCCGATTTTAGTTTTAAGAAATTTATCTTTTTAATTGAAAATTTCATTTGTAACATTAATATTATTTTATATATAATTTTTTTGATCGAAATCATAATTATGTATAATATCTCGTATATTCCAATTTCCAATCCAATATTAAATTACCTACAAAAAAAATAACGACTAAAATTTCCATTTTCTTTTTTTACTTCTGAAAGTTACATGTATAATATCAATATTATCAAATCTATATTACTTTTCGTGTTTTATTATATTCGGTTTCAATCTTGAAGACGTCGGAAACTTTTCCCGAAGTTACATAAACGGCACGGATTTCGAAATTCAGAAATTTCCGAAGCTTCGAGATTGAAATTAAGTTTTAGAGCTTGAAGGTTTTGGAATCGGGATCAAATTTTATTTTATTTTTTCTCCCGAGAAAAAAAAAATCGGATATTATAATATTTTAGAACACTAATTCCGAATTGTCTCATTTTCAGCCTTGGTAGTTGCCGTGATATATTATTGAATTGTATAATATATATTATGTTTGTAAATATATTTATAAATGTACAGTATTTGTGAAATTAATTTTAACTGGTTAATCTTAATTAACAGGAATCAAATAACATTTGCTGATGATCAATGCCAAGGACCCGGATCCGACAAATCGAACCGGGTCAAATGGGAAAAAAACCTAAGCCCAGAGGAGCTACAGTTATTTACCAGCAATTCGTACATTGACAATGATGGGTGGATGCACAAAATACCTCTCAACATTTAATCCTACAGTTATAACTGCTACGTACCGTATTTCTCTAACTTGTACTAAAACCTAAGCTTTATTTTTTTTTCTTTATTTTTTTTTTTATAAATTACTTTGGTCGTTTTTGGTACCTCCTAGGTACCATTTGCATTGCATAATTTAGAGACAATTAATTTAGCAAAATGTAAGTGGCAAGATTTTTTATTTTATTTTTTATTATTAATCCCTAAAACAACTAGCGAACTAAGAATTTCAGTTAAGTGCGTTCGATATTTAATCCTACAGTTATAACTGCTACCTATTGTATTTCTCTAACTTGTACTAAAACCTAAGCTTATTTTCTTGGGACTATTAGTGAGAACCCCCTCTAACATTATTTTAATAAGGATGGGTCCAGCTCATTTTCCTTTATTAGTGAGAAACCCATTTTTTTTGTATTCTCAAATTTACCCTCTCACTATTCACTACTCATTATCCACTAGTTTGATATATTTTTTATTTTTTTTATTTTAATTTTAATTTTCGTTTTTTTTATTTATTTCTTCTTTAAAAAATAATATTTTTTTTAAAAAAATATTATTTTTTTACTTTTTTAATATTTTTCTTTAAATATTCCTTTTCTATATTGTTTTAGTTTTCAGTTAAAACAACTATATGCCAATAAAATGACTATTATTAAAACGAGTATTATTAAAACAATTGGTATTAAAATCATGATACATCAGTTTCACAATTTATTAAATTAATTCTATATTATATTATTTTCATTGTAAGATTAACTAATTATTTAATCAAAACATCTCCAAAACAACTATTTGTTAAATCAACTATTTATTCAAACCAACTAAAAAGTATTGAAAACAATAATATTGTTGTGCAAAAACAACTATATTGCTATACAAAAACAACTATATTGAATCAACTACAAATTATTGAAATCCACAAAAGCAAAACCAAAAAAACACACCAAAATTCCAACAAAAACGACTATTATTGAAACCAACTACAACCGTAACGAAAACAACTATATCCTTTTGAGTAACACGAACATAATTTCAACAAACCAGCCTCCCAAACAATACCTCCTCCTCGAGGTCAATCTATTCCATTACAGCGGTGGTGGAGGGGGTCTTCCGACGAGGATTCCAGGATGCTTCCAAAAATCGAAAGAATAAAAAAAATAAAAAAATACCAACAGATTGAAAGAGCTAGCGTTAGATTCGCAAAATAAGGAGTGGAGAGAGAAGAAGAGCCGCCGACTTCACAATTTAATTGAAATCTCTTCGAATCCCTAATTTCTTCAACCAAATGGGCCAAAAGCGAGACTCTTCTCGCCGTGTCCGTACAATCTTTCTTAAAGAAGCCCGAGAACCTGGATCCGGAGATCCGAACGACGTCGGAGATGAGGCGGAGGGCCGAGCCGGTGGCGCCTTCGCCGGCCATTTGAACGGAGCGGAAAGGAGTTTTCTGTGTGCGCGTACCTTACAACCACAATGCGTCCGCCATTGTTCTAGTGATTTAGAGAATTTGATGTTATACAGTTGGCAAGGTTTCTTTATTTATAATAATTATTATTATAATTAGGATTATTAATTTAATCTCAAAAATTTTCTTCAAATCACGTGTTTAAAGTAAATTAATTACACAAGGGTGAATATGTAAATGTCAATTATGAAATTATTCATAAAAATTCGAATCTAATACATGAGGGGGGTTTCACTAATTATGAAAAGGGGGTTAAACCCACCCTAATATATATAAATGATGTGGGGGGTTTTCACTAATTATCCCTATTTTCTTTTTTCTTTTTTTCTTTTTTGTTGGTCTTAGAAATTACTTTGGTCTTTTTTGGTACTTCCTAGGTACCATTTGCATTGCATAATTTAGAGACAATTAATTTAGCAAAATTTTAGTGGCAAGATTTTTTATTTTATTTTTAATTATTAATCCCTAAAACAACTAGCGAACTAAGGATTTTAGTTAAGTGCGTTCGATATCTAATCCTACAGTTATAACTGCTACCTACGGTATTTCTCTAACTTGTACTAAAACCTAAGCTTATTTTCTTATTTCTTTTTTTCTTTTTTTGTTGGTCTTAGAAATTTCTTTGGTCTTTTTTGGTACTTCCTAGGTACCATTTGCCATTGCATAATTTAGAGACAATTAATTTAGTAAAATGTTTGTGGCAAGATTTTTATTTTTATTTTTTTTACTATCAATCCCTAATACCATTAGCGAATCAAGGATTTCAGTTAAGCGCATTCGATATTTTATATGAAAACATATGTAAATGAAACATGGAAAAAAAGATTGTAAACATTTAAAATTAAAATGGACATTTTTTAATCATGTATAAGATCTTGAATATCTTTCGACGTGGTCTTATTTCTTGAAAAAAAATGTTCGTCATAGAATATTTTTTGATATATTATATATTTCTCAATTTACGACACTAATTATCATTTAACGCTTGATCCTTATTCATTCAGGGCTCAAGATTTAATTTTGGGAGGAGTTCTGAAATTTTGGAGGAAATAAACTGCAAAATTTTAATAAAATTCAAATTAACACCTTATAATTTAAATAATAATAAAGCTCCTACTATTATGTATTTACATATATATAATTCTTAGTTTTTAAAATTTAAGGGTGTACAACAGTACAAGAACACACCCTAGAGCAGGGTTGGTTGGTTCCGCAAAGACAAAACAATTTCATGTTGAATTTACATGGGGACAAAGATACTTTGGACCCAAAATAAATTATTATATCTTGGGCTTGGGCTCATCATAGTTTTTTTTTTTTTTTTTTTTTTTTTTTAAAATTTTTTTGGCCAAACAGATTTTGGGTAAATTACGGAAAATCTGCTGAGGTAAAGTCTTATTACGAAAATTCCGCTCATATTTGCATAGCAGTGAAAATTCCCCTTATGTTTGCGTGATTACGAATTAAAACCCCCCTCTGATCCATGTTTTGACTGATTAAATTCACATAAAATGTATTTAGTCTGTTTTACCCTTTTGTTAATTGAAAACTAATAAAGGATAAATTACGAGAAACCCCATGAGGTAAAGTCTAATTACGAAAAAACAGACCACCAACACCAGAACGCATCGATCCTTCTAATGTAATTTTCGATCAACGAGATAACATTATTTGCATCATCTTTAATTTCTTCTCAAGACCTTTCACGAATATCTCAAAACAATAATACTCTAATAATGAGTATTTGCATTAAATCCTCAACCATATAATATAAGATCAACAAAAATATGAATATATATAAATAAGGTATTCAAATCCTTATATTATATGTATATTATGATGGTAGTTAACGTTAGGATTTTGTCACTTATTTGTTGTGAAGTTGTCCCAAGTTGACTTCAATGATTGAACCTCACAATTATTCAATAATTATATTGCAAAACTAAAAGGTGTGGGGTATAGCACAAGTTGTTACATAATTACATATACTGAAATGCTATTCATAGTGAGGTTTTTACCGGCTTGCAGTGCGATTTATTTCATTTGTAACTTTCCTAAAAAAAAACCAAATTCGCCCGCTATTTCGTGTATAAATACACGAAATCCACTCAATCATTTCGTGTCTTTTCACACGAAATATAAGTGTTTATTGTTATAGAACACGAAGGACGAAACTGTTAGATTGAAAAAAATTATATTGCAAAACTAAAAGGTGTGGGGTATAGCACAAGTTGTTACATAATTACATATATTTCAATAAGTGGTCCGTTTCCAAAGGGCTTTTGAGACAATGACTTGACTATAGGCAATTTTTTTCTATATTGGATACTATATAGTTTTTCTAATAGTTTTGCCAAACATAAATAAATATTTAATTTCATGGGGCCATTTCTTTGTTTTCATGGTTCAATAAGTCTCAGTGTTTTGAAAGACGGACTGGACTGGCCGGTGGAATCGGTTAAACCGCAGACCATTGTCTTGTCTGGTCGGTCTGATTGAACCGTCATATCAAAATTGTCTAAATTTTTTTTTTTTTTTTTACAAAAATAAACAAATAAAATGGCCAAATTGACGTCTTTTTATTGCCCACTTGAAAAAAAAAATCAAAAAAAAAAAATCTTGGAGTTGGAAGACATGTTTTTTTATTATAATTTCTGTAATATTTGAAACGATTCGGTGTAATACCTGTGTGTTGATATGTTGTGTGTGTGTGTTGATATGTTGTGCTTGTAAAAGAAAAATAAGTTTGATTTACATTTTAATTGGAAATATAAATAACTATAAAAAAAATGAAAAAAAAACAGTTGGTCCCCGGTTCAACATGCCCAACCGAGACCCATTAACTTGTTCGGGTCAATGTTCGGTCCGATTTTCAAAAGAT